CCAGTTAACTCTTATTCCCTTTTAACAAAGTCTGAGAGATTAAATCTCAAATAAGTTATAAAATACTTACCTTTTTACTCTGCATAATATTAATTTTTGCAACTTACAAGAATTATTGTCATTCTTTGTCCTCACAATTTCCATTTAACCTTATATATGGGTCTGTCTTATGATGTAAGTTTTACATATTAATGATAGTTTGATCAGTTACGTACTATTTAAGCAGACTTTCTACCTCTTAAAGTAATTCTTGGATGCATACTTTTTACTTTTACCAGACTAAAACTATGTTGTAGTCGTGTTACTCTTATTTGAGTATCATTTTTGGATTCTCTGCCCACCTCGAATACAAAATGATGCTAAATTTGGATCGCTAATTCTTTGTTGAGATGAACGCAGGGACCGAAAAGATGAAGAAAGAAAAGCTGTTCAGTACAAGAGGACGTAGGTGACAGATGGAGGGAGCTTATGGACCTTGGCATCCTCACTGTTGGATGATTCCCACTCTGACTCATGGAAAACGCAGCGGGCGTTGTCCTCAAACTGCCGTCTTTACGCCACTTTATTCAAGCCAGTTTCAACTTTTAGCTGCCTTTTCCTGGACCTTGGGATGAATAACTGACAGTTTTAACTGCAAACAAATTAAAGCCATCATTTTTATGTCAATTTGTTTCTGCAGGATAATAATTAGTTTGACACAAGACAGAGAAAAACAAAATGTTTTGCTTGTTTTTTTGGGTCATTGGAGAAAAGGGTGTAAATACTGAAATGTCAAAACTTAAATCTTTCACACGACTTTATTTCTCATCTCTAAACTGTTGCCTTAGTTTGTGTTCAGTTTATTCTTCAAAACAGAACCACATCATGTGCGTCTTGCATCCAAGGGCGCAAGTCCCATTTCATTCTTGGGGGACCATAAACAGAAAAATTTCTTTAGACCAATTTTGGGAAAATTACAGTGAAATTTAAAAAAGGTTTTAAACCAGAGGCTCCATCCCTAATAAATGACTATTAATATTATATGTACTTTTTGTTTCAGGTCTGTATTTCAGTTTAAACATTCTTTCAGACAGAAGGGCTGGCTGTCCTTCCTGGACGGGGGAATGTGGGGAAATGTCAGTTTGTTTCAATTTGAGGTGAATTGTTTCAGTCTTGCCTTTCGGTGTGTCTCCTCAGCAGGGTGGAGCAGTTAGTTTCTGTACCTACCAAGATGGCTGCCAGCTGCAACGTTCCCGGAAGTGTGACATCATGTGAGAACTATACTTGATTGATTCCCAAGGGGAAATTGGTTATTAGGGGACATTAGAAGATCGTGAATGTCAGTGAGGTTGGTATTTTACTCAGTTCACTCTGAGATGCAGAGGAACAAGATGATTAAAAAGCAGTAGGAAATTATGCTGCTTTCTGTTTCTTGCTGTCTGGGCAACAAAGACCCACATTGTACCACTGACTGAAACCCCATGTACCCTTATCATAAAACATCAGCACTTGTTGGTAGTTGTTAACTTATCCCAGCACTAATGCCCCCTGCATTGCCTTGGGAACTCAGCAGCCATTGTCTGTCGCCTTGAGCCAGGGTTTGGTGAAAGCGAGAGCAGACAAAAAGCCTGGCAGGTTTCTCATGCTGCAGCTTTGTGGAGCTTCGCCGGGGGAACAGAGGCTGGGGCCGGGGCCGGAAAAGTGTACTACAGGTAAACTGGGACCAACACAAAGGGAACAAAACCGGGATTGTCCAGTTCAATGGCCACACATCCCAGCTTTTGACATATGAAGCCTGTGGTTACAGATGAAGAGCTGGGATTTAATTTCACCTCAACAGAACAACACATGGAGCATATTTAATCTGTAGACCTAATCTGTTTATCTGCTGGTTTGGTTGGATTATAACATTTAAGAAATACTCTGTTTTACGAGAAACAGAACATCTCAGGTCTGGTAAGCATTAAAAACATCTCAGACTGAACTTTTAGTTAAATACTGAAATATAAAGGATCCATTTTAAAAGGATTTATCAAAAGTATTGTTTTTTTTAGTTGTTGTAACTGTTATCAATTAGTATTATATATATATAACATTAGAATATTGATCTTTCCAATTAGGGCAGTCAAATGTTTTCAGAGTGTTTGACTTTCTCAAGTCAAACCATATTTTTACTTCTACGGCGTACCATGGTTTACAAATAGAAAGAACATCCTGCAGCGTCTCTTGGGTTTGAGGCAGCGTTTCATCCAGTCATCCAACTCGGTGCCAGATCCACTTACACAACCAGGAGTCTGCAGCGATCTCTTAAACCCTCACACTGGGAAAAAGAGTGGCTGAGAGGTCTTCTTCCACAAAAAAATAGAACAAAAGAAGAAACAAAGACATAACATGCAGAGTAATGTCCTAATCCAAGCCCAGTCAGGCTTTGGACTTGTGTTCATCTTCATGTAATGTCCTAATCCAGACATATATTGGAAGAGCTGGTAATCTCCTCGCTGCCTGAGTCGGGCAGAAATTACTCAGATTTACTCATCTGAGTAACTTGTTGAGTATTTTTAAATGAAGTATTACTGCTCTTAAGTAAAATTTCTGGATAGTCAACCCACTAAGAGTAACTTCTCTGAATAAGTTTGTTTTAACCAAATATTCACCAGACACACACAGTTGCAGCTTTTGTTAAAGTTTTGTAAGTTTTACATTAAATTAATTTAATGTGAAAGATTTTTATCTTTTGCCTGATTTCTGTTTATAATTATGTTATTTATATCAATAATATTTCATTTATTTCTTTAAATTACCAACTTCCACATAATTGTTTGATTTTCTCTGTCTGATGTAATTCTTAAAAATTAAATAATTGATATTTTGATTAGTTACTCAGTACTTGAGTATATTTTTTACAGAATATGGTAAAAGTACTTACTGTACTTTGTAGTAGTTTGAGTAAAAATATGTTGAAGTTTCACTACTTCAGTAAACTCCTGGTACTCTACCCACTTCTGCCTGCTTCTTATTGTATATTTGGAGCAAAAGCTACAGAAAAGTTGGGAATTTTCAACCCAAATTGGGAATAGGAGGAGGCGGCTCCATGGCTGTAAACCAGTAAAAGCTTTTATGGTTTCTGGAAGAATTTTTATGCACACATGTAATCCACAAGGATGCTGGGAAACAATAAGCACAAGTTCTGCTTCTCCAGAGCTTAACGAGCAGGTTGCGTTAAATGAATCTGCAGCTCATGTTTACCATCACTCAGGGCAGAGACCCACATCCATCAGATGAACTTCTCCATTGTCTGGATGAGAGCGCACAAGCTCTCTAGACAATAGGTCCTCTCTGAAACCGGGAGAGCTTCGTCCTATTGTCCTACCTTCTATTGTGCTGCAGGAGAAGCCAGCAAACTGAATTCTGCAGGGCTTTGTCTTTGTGTGGATTGTCCTGGGATTTCTTCATGCCCTGGTGGAGTCCGTATGCGCTAAAATACAGTTTGTAATGGAGAGGTAGATGTGCTTCACTGGGCTGTTGGGAAGTTGGAAAGCTCAGCATCTGGGTATGAGCCTGACGCTTGTTTTTATGTTGATGTAGTGATTTATGTGCTTTAAAGGTGGAAAACGGCAGCGGCTAATGTGTGGCAACGAGGGGTTAATTGGAGCAAATGTGTCACAGGGATCTTAGCATGTATTCTTTAGAAAGTATTCATACTCTCAGAAGCAGAGTTGGATGGTAACTATTTACATGTACTCAATTACATTTACTTGAGTAACTTTTGGGAGTATTTTTTAATACAGTATTCTACTGTAACATCAGTACAATTTCTGGATACTCTGTTTACTCAATTGGCTTCTGCTTTATTTTGTTAACTTTTGTTACTTATATCAATTTTGTCCTTACAATACCATAATCTCTTCATCTAAGCTACTTTAATAAAGGTGGCAATCATCCTTCAAGGTGAAATTTCAGTTCTGTCTTGATTATTTTTCAGTATATAACAGGTTTTCCTCCAGAACTGCTGTGTATTTAGCACAATCCATTTATCTCAGGTCAGGAAACGTTGCTGTCCCTTCTGAAGAGCAGCATGCCCATAATATAATACAGCCGTTCCACTTTTTACATCCTAAATTTATCATAGCTTTGTGTGAGTGTGTCAAATAAAATGGTATATTTGGAACAAAACACTGCATATTGCTGTATTCCAAATGAATGGTGGATGCAGAAGTATGAAAATGAACAAAAGGTACATTACTTTCCCAAAACACTGCATAGCCATTGTAATTTCATAAATTCAGTTGGGACTTTTCTGTTTTTAACGCAGAAAGAAATGCATGGACACAGAAACAATAATGCAAATTTAAAAATTACTTTTTAAATTTCTGCTTAAATCAATAGTATATTTGTCTGATGCATAAATAGTTAATTGTGTGCTAAAAACCCCATGTTTTGGCCGCAGCACCAACATAAACAATGTAAAGCAGTGCTTTTCAGCTGGTGACCAGAATAAACCAGCTTCCACTCTTTACTGAATCCGTTATGTAAGGACTTCTCCCATTGGTCCGCTTCTCAATTCCAAATTTAAACCCGCGCTCTGATTGGACAGTGTGCTGCCAGGAGGCAAGTAGAAGGGGGCGGAGCTTCAGCCGGGTCGGGAGATTCGTCAGTTGGTAGTTCAGATTGTCGCGCCGCCAAACGGGAGGACGGAGGAGTACTTTTTGTCTCGGTTTTTCTTCGGGAGGGGGGATTTTTTTTTGCCTCGAATTGGATCTCGCAAATGGACGGACATGAATGAGGACCACTGGTTAGAAATTCTCGGCGTCCCTTTCGCGGAGAAATGCTCAGTGAGGGGCGTTTACCGAGTGTTTTCCAGCCCGTTTTTCCTAACAGGGTAGCGGCGGCGGCGGTCAGTCGGTGAGCGGCTGAAGAGAGACTGAATATCCCGCTTTGTAATCTCCTGACAGCCCTTTTAACCCCTCCGTGGATTGACGGAGGGATCTGGGAACAGCTTTACTCTCATCAAAACCATGGATGTTTTCACTCTGTTATTCATGATTTGTAACAGGTAGGTTTTGTTCCCAGTTACAACAACAACAATCTGTCTGTCCTTGTATTTTACGTAGCTGACATGGAGATTGATTGAAGCATCGGTTAAAATGAAACTTATACTATTATTATTAATACTCAGGATCCTAACAGCTGCTTGGTTGCTATTTCAGGAAGCTATGTTTTGTTTGGTTGTGGTTTGAATTATAATGGCTGTTGTCCTGCTGTCCCTGTTTGTTCACTTTCCTCTCACAGAGAGTCACCATTTACATCCCTGCTCCCCATGTTTTCAAAAACATTTCACCTGACAGACATTTTTATTTTGAAATTATTCACAAATTAAATCAATCAAGTTTTATTTGTATAGCACAAGGCATTTCAAAGTGCTTTACATCATAAACACAAAAACTCAAAGTCATGCAACATAGAGTAAACAATACATTGTTACATATTACATTTCAAATACAATTCTAAACAGGTGTGCTTTTAATTGAGATTTAAAGGAAGTCGTGGTTTCCGCTGTTTTACAGTTTTCTGGAAGTTGGTTCCAAATTTTTGGTGCATAGATGCTGAAAGCTGCTTCTCCTCTCTTGGTTCTGGTTCTGGGGACTGAGAGGTCTGGAAGGTTGATACAACAAATCAAATCTTTGATGTAAATAAATGAAATAAATGAAAACATCCTGTGCACCTGCCCCTCTAGCATCACTTTAACAGAAAGTAAAACAGAAATTGCATTTAAAGGTAGTTAAAGAAAACCCCACAAATTCAGTTTTCTGTGTAGACTATTCAGTTTTATTAAATGCTCATAAAAATATAATATTTTGGGGATGCAACCAGGGCTGGCCCAAGACTTTTTGGGGCCCTGAGCAGATTTTCATCGGGGCCCCCACACTGACATGTGAGCACCAGATTATTTATAATTTAAAAACTAACATGCCTATTGTCATTAGCATAATTTCTAATCATCTTACAACATAACAGTGCTATTATGTTGATTTTTAAATGTACAGAATGAGAAAACTAAAGATTTTGAAATGCAGTGTGGTATTTAAGTGTGCCACATTATTTCATTTATTTGAAACTAAGGTCTACTTGTTTCTATTAAACAAGTTAATAAATTTGATATCTTATGTTTCCCCAGCAGTGGGAACAAGAAATCAACCTATTATTTGATTAACAACTATAATTTAAAAGATTGTTTGTCCGTATTTAATAACATTTTATTCTGTGCTTTTTTAAATGTATATATATTTTTTATCATGCTAGCTTGGTGCTCTTTAGGGCCCCCTGGTGGTCTGCTTTCAGAGGTTTCTGAACCTCTGAAAGCACCAACACAAATGTTTGGGCCAATATTGTGTCGATACAGATCTTTTTGCTTTTGCTTGAAAAGTCGCTAAATATAGTAACAAAGTTGGCAACTTTTGGGTTAGAAGTGGACATGCAGATGTGACCTGGTGGATGGGTTCATCAATCAGAGAGTCAATCCTCTCTCATGACAAAACAAAACAACAGCAGTTTATTTTGAGACCCTTGTAGAGGTGGATACGATTGGTTTCTCATGTATGAATCGGCTGATCAAAATATATGAAATACCTCTTAAAGCTGCAGTATGTAACTTTATAAAAGTGATTTATTTTTATTTACAGTAACAGTATAACATGAGACGGGTAATCTGTGAAAAGATTGAGCTCCTCTGCCGTCTCCCAGTACACACTGTTCCCCCACTTCAGCTTCTGCCTGTTCAGTCTAGTTAGCATGGCCAACGGTAAGTTATTTTTACACCATTAGCACATTGAGCTGCACGTACACATAGTTGACTGACGGCGCTTAGACCCGCCTCCTGGCTCTGATTGGTTGTTTTTGATCAGGCTCGGTGCATTTCCACAGATGGTAATAGTAGCTCAGATAGGAGTTGGAGGACATCGATCTTTTCACAGATTTTATGTCTCATACTACATTGTCGCAACATGGTGACATTTTTAACATGGTGATATGTAATAAACATAAAAAAAGTAACAAACTGCAGCTTTTAAATGCATTAAGCTAGAAGCTACCATCTATGGTCTTTGTATCTGAAGGTTCAGCCAATCAGCTCTAAGTAATGATTGACCTCTTTAAAAATGCTAGAGAATGGTATATAAACATTGCGGTTTTAGCTACATTTTCTTTTGAATATTTTAGAAATGCTTCACAAAACAATCTGCAATTAGCACAAACTGACATCCAGTTTGAGGTAAACTGACTAATTCCTGCCTGTTGTTTATCTGCAGATTTGTGGCCACCGATCGACATGAAGAAAGTGGACGGTGTGGATTAGGATCTTTTTATTCCCTCCCCCTGCTTTTTCTACTTTCTGTTGTTTTCTTGGGGCTTCATCCTCCTCACGTCAATGTGGGCTCTGAAGGACCTCTCCCCACTCTGTGGTTTGGAATAAATGATGGCAGCGTGTTGGAGTGATTTCCCAAAGGACACTGAAGAGCGGAAACACTTAGCTGTAATTCCCGCCTGTCAGGTAGGTAGCTGGGCTTTAAACGCTCCTCAGCTGTTTGTTGTTGTTTTTTGAATGCAACACACTGTAAATCTTTGACACTAAGTGGACTATTTCAGACACAATGTAACACTTGCTTGAGGGGTCGCTTGTTCTGATTTGTAACCTGAACTGTTAGGAAGTCGACTCGATGAGGAGGGCTGCTTTCCGCAGGTATTTTCTTGCAGAAAACTTGTGACATGCCTGAGAAGTGTCGGAGCGAGCGCGGGAGAGTGAGCTAAGCGTTGCAGCACATCTGCCAGTGTTTGGGGGTGATTGGGTTCATTTTGTCCCTCTCTTTCCTCTGACAACTGGTTAAGTGCACAATGAGAGTTTTATACTTGCAGGGCTGCTGATGTTACTGGGCTCTTTGTTGGTCTGCGTGCCAAACTCTGAAAAAGTGGCACATTGTCAAACTCATCCGTTTTTTTTTCCTTCCTCCAGCGGTTACATCATTATAATCATCACTACGAGCCAGCTCTGCAGCGGCGGCATGTTTTGGATTAATCCATCATCAGAAAATGGCAACAGTGTGTGCCTGTAATCCTCTTACTGTGTCAGAACTAGCTGAGGATTGATGACTTAAATCTATCAGCATCCTGATAGACAAAAAGTTACAAACTGCAAACAAATAAAACGAAATCCAGGAGCTCAGTGATTTTCGTGAGATTGGTTGTGATGTGTGATTGTCTGATGGAAGTGACCAGAACGTTGTTGAAAGTGTTTTAGTGGCGCCGTTTTGGAGAAATCTCATTAACCAAGGCGTGGTTTTGTAGCTATTAGCTAGCATGGAATCTTTCCCCTTGCATCCATCTCTGCAATCTAATAAATACTTCCCACAGCAACACTCTGCTCTGCCTCTGCGGAAAACTAAAACCACCACATCCTCTCAAACTCCCAGCTGTTAGGCAGAAACATCCGACGCACATCAGTCAGCTTCAAAACTCGATTTCCCTTGTCCACAAAGGACTCTCTACCAGCTGATCAAAGATGTTTTTTTGACAGACAAGTTCTTACTTTTGTCTATAAAGTATTCCTAGAATTTTGAAGCATTTACACAATGAATTTAAAACTAAAATTCAGAGTAGGATCTTACTGGTTTGAAGTGAACAGTGAACTCTTTCAACACAGGCTAAAAGCAAATACTAATAACTAACTACATTTATTTCAAAATTGGTATAAACTAAACACATACTTCTCTAAATCATTGTGTTACATTATGAATTGTGGGTAATTGTAATGTAATTTTATTTATTTTGGACATTTTCAACAACAAAGCTTTACATCAATTTGAAGGAAATATAAACAAAACAACAAAACCAAGAGAAAGACAAACAAGCACACTTTAAAATATTCCAGTTGATCTGGGTATCTAAGTATAAAATACAAAACTAAATGTTGGTTCTCCATGTTTGACTCTTGTTTCTGGTTGCTAAGTTTAAGGAATGAACTACATTTTCTCAAGGTGCTCAAATTAGATGAATCAATCAAAACATAGCTTCACTTCAAGCTTTAAGCATGCTGATGTGAGTCATACAGAAGAATTTTTCAACATGTGTAAAAAAAAATCTAATTATGTATGGTACAGTGTCAAAAGTATAGCAAAGCAATGCCAAAGAGATATTTTTTCCTATTGGTATCATGCCTGTGTTTTATGGTTTCTGGAACATACAGATGATAAGAACCAACTTAGTGAATATTTTATGGCTGAGTGCCCAGAATGAGGAAGACAAACCCGAGATTTACAGCTCTAACCACCGTCCCTCCAGGCTATGATGAGAGCTGAGGGCCCTCATCTGCATCGTCTTGACTTGATAATCAGGGTGTCTCTCCTCCACAACAGCCCCTGTAGCAGACTCAGACACATCCCGCCTGTCAGAGCCAAAGCATGGCAGCAGCATGGGGGTAATTTAGACCCAGCTGCTCTGATCATTAAGAGGAAAACACCCTGTGCGTCGCTCACAATCCTGTCCTCGCTGTCATGGTTAAACCAACCGGGTCGGTCCAACCAGCTGACACTCTCAGCTGGTTATGTCTCAGGGGAAAGGTCTCGACTGATAAATATTTCATAGTAAGAGCAATTTGTTATGATCTCATTTACATTTTCGCTCTGTCTGCATTTTTACCATTTTATACTGGAAGAAATGAGATGTTTGATTCATCCATCCATCAAACTATCCATCCATCCATCCATCATCCATCCATCCATCCATCCAACTATCTGTCCATCAAACTATCATCCATCCATCCATCCATCCATCCATCCATCCATCCATCCATCCATCATCCATCCATCCATCCATCCATCCATCCATCATCCATCCATCCATCCATCCATCCATCCATCCATCCATCCATCCATCCATCCATCCATCCATCCATCCATCCATCCATCCATCCATCCATCCATCCATCCATCCATCCATCCATCCATCCATCCATCCATCCATCCATCCATCCATCCATCCATCGCTACAGTAAAATGCTGCTATGGATGGTGAATCCATGTGTAATAAATCACTGAATCGTTTTGACTGCATTCCTCAGTCATTCCTGTCGTTGGGGATGAGGCCAATGGCAGCCCTCAGAGTCATGTTCTCGGCCGTGTCGTCCCCCTGCTCTTCTTTCCTTTTCCTCTCGATCCACATGCTTGCCTTTCACCCGTCCTCTATTCCCCTGTGTCTTCACTGCTCCTATATTTAGCCCTTAGAAAGATGAACGTTAAGGGAAAAATGGAGTCGGCACTCTGGCATTGCTCTCTCTTTTCCCCCTGAATGGTGCAACACGAAGCGGAAATGTGAACGTTGGTCATCACCTTAGGAGACAGAGAGCAGGACTGTGGTTAGCTTGTCCCATGTTTTCTTTTTCCATTGGAGCTTTTTCCACTTCTATGTGTCAAACTGAGACGTGTGTGTGTGTGTTTATTTTTAATACTTTCACTGTTCCTTTTAGTCACTGCAGGAGTTTTTCTGGCAAAAGGAGGATTATTAGCTCATTTATTACCATTCAGAGCTGTAGCAGCTCATCATTCAGAGCAGAGAAGGATTTTCATTTGCATGAATCTGAGAAACAAATTTGCATTTGGTCAGCGCATCAGGGCTCTCTTATGTTAACCAAACCAGACGCTGAACAGGACGTGACTTGGGTGTAGTCTTAGCACGCGAACACAGAGTGGCTGTTGTGTCGGATTAAAATGGAGCGCCTTGTAAGAGTCACCAGATTTAGACCAGAGCTGCCGTAGCTGTAAACGTCGAACTGAATCATCTGGGTGCAAGCAGGATTCAATGGTTACTTGTATAGGACATTTCAGCAACTAGGCAGTTCAAAATGCTTTACATCATCCATCCATCCATTTCCCTACAGCCTTGTCCCGTTGGTGTTGGGAGGAGCGCTGGTGCCTAGCTGTCTACAGGCGAAAGGCGGGGTAAATCCTAGACAGGTCGCCAGTCCATCACAGGCTTTACATCATTACAACTCAAAATAAAATGTACAGTCACCAACCGAGAAACCATCAGTGATGATCACCAATACTCGTTGGTCAATGTTCCATTTATCAATAATCGAAAGCAACGTTTTAGTTTAGTTTGGAAGGAATTTAGTGTTTCAACTGTTTTACAGTTTTCTGAACGTTTGTTGCTGATTTTTGGTGCATAGAAGCCGAATGCTGCTTCTCCATGTTTGGTTCTGGTTCTTCTACACCAGAACCAGAAGACCTGATAGGTCTGGAAGGTTGATGCAACAAAGGCAGATCTTCCTGTGGTGCTCAACCACTCTGTGATTTGTAAACAACAGTATTTCTGAGCTACAGGGAGCCAGACAGGGGCCGTTAGAACTGGGATGATGTGCTCTACCTTCCTGGTTTTAGTCAGAACACCAGCAACAGTGTTCTGGATCAGCTGCAGTTTTTTTTTCTAGGCAGACCTGTAAAGACACTGGTGCAATAATCAATGCAACTAAAGATAAATGCATGGATGATTTTCTCTAGATCTTGCTGAGACATTAGTCCTTTAATCTTGGAAATGTTCTTCAGGTCTTAATGTGACTCTAAATGTTCAGGTCAGATTTCAGGCTTGATCTATAGTTTCCAGCTGTAATAACTGAAGCTGTATGTTGACTGGATTGTTCCTTTTTAAGTACAAATATAATAACTTCAGTTTTATTTCTTGGTTGGGTTCAGAATCGCCTGGTGACGTCTTGATGTAGAGCAGTGTATCATCTGCGTAGTTATGGTGGCTAATCTTATTATTTCCTGGAATGGAAGCTGTTCTTTCCTTTTTACAGTTATGCAGTACTTTTGTCTGTTCTGGGTTGTTAAATCAGAATAAAATTCATTAAGTTTCCGTCGCTGAATTCTCCAGTCAGAAGCATAGAAGAGTGATTGTCAGATTTGTGATTTGTGCAGAGAATGCAACAACCGGAAAAATGCCCCCCTTTCTGTCGACTCGTATCCCTTTGTTGCCATTTGACTCGATGTCACAGCTTCTGCTGCCTGGATGCCTCCGTCCTTCTGTCTGTGTTCAAGAGAAGGATGCAGGCAGGAATTCAGATCTAAATGTGATGATCTGTCAAAACATGCCAATCATCTGGGTCCATTTACGACGTTAAGGTTTCGCTGCTCATCATTGAATTTGTTTGCTTTGCACGTTTCTCTTGGGCAGTATTCACAGTCCCCCTCCCTCCTCTCTCACTCCACTCCCTGCAGGCTTCATAAGCCACAGATTATGCAATTCTCTGTGTAGTAGCAGGCAGATAGTAAGAGGATAGACACCTGAAAGGTCATTTAGCACAAATGATCCCCTTTACAACAAGTGCAGCTTCGTGTGAAATAACAGTCTGGGGTTTTCAGGCAGAGTTACGTAACACGGCGTTATCGGGAACGTATCTTGGCCTTCAGTTGTGGAAGTCTGGGTTTCTCGCTTGGCAGGAAATCGCATTTCCTGAAAGTATCTTCTGTGGAAAGGAGCAATTGTGGTCAGACCGAGGAGGATTTTCATTAATGGATGGTGGAGAAGTCACAGAACAGAACCAGCTGCCGTGGATCGGGTCATTCCCCTTCCTCAAACAAGCAGGTTTCGTCAGTTTGGTGTTTTATTGAGTCTGGCTCAATTTGCCCCTTTGTAGCTAAATTTCAGGGATTGCTGTTTCATTGCTTTGGAAATGCTGTCCCATTTGACTTTGTTTGCAGATTAAGGCTGAAAAGATTAATCAGATTAATCGTAATGAAGCAAGACAAATTTTAATAAATTGATTATTCAAATAATCAACTAATTTAATAATTGATTAATAATTAGTTGTAGAATCTGACATATACCAATTTTAGTCAGTTTTTATTTAAAAAATTGTAATTACTGGGTGTTGCGGTAGTGCAGGGGCGTGGCGAGACTCATATATGGAGGCCATAATCCTCGTGGTGGTGGTCGCGGGTTGGATTCCAGTTTACCAATGTAAAAAGGCTCTGACCTCGAGTATAACTTAATTTAACTGTATGTTGTTTTCTGAAAACCTCACTGTTTCCATTAATTTTAGTTCTGATATGCCGTTTAGCATTATGTTTCTATAGATAGTTAGCAGATTAGTGTCTCCAATCCAACAAAAAATGTTTCTGACACACCTACATTTGGTAGATATCATTAAATGGAGTCATGTACCCAGATTTTCTCACAGCGCTCAGGGTATTTTATGCAGTATCTGGCATTTTAGCATGCAAAGCATTGACCTTTTGCTACATTTTAAGGGTTGTACTAGTTAAAACAGTTCTTTAATTTGTTTCTTTCATGTCTAATCAATTTATTTAGTGCAATAGTAAACAAAAATGAAAACATTACGAGGTCTTCATTGATCTTTGACATCCATTTAGGAAACTACTATGACATAATGCATCAGGAAGCATCCCTCCATTGTTTCATCATCAACCAGGAATTGTCCAGCAGAAAGTGAAACGCGTCCCCTTCCCCCACAGTGAAGTAAATATAATCCAATCAATTCTGATTTATGGATCTTGTGTTGCTCACATAGTCAGAGCGCAGCGCTCCAAAGCACAGATTACAGCTCACAGAGTCCCTGAAGCAGAGAAACGTTACAACATGATAGTAATTCAAGGTGAAAGTTTGATTCATTAAAGATGAAAATGGTTTGTTGGTCTCAGTGTTGATTGGATTTCCTCTTTGGCATTATAAAC